GAAATACCACCTCATCCTAGCGCAAAAACATTTTGTCAAAAAACATATTTTTTTTCTAAATTGACGTGTTTCTATTGAGCAAATTTATTTTCGAGTCATTAATTTGCGCATTTTCATGGTCAATGGAAACGCAGCTACTATCAGAGGGAGATGAAGAAGAGTCAGAGTTCAAAAAAATATTGTTTCAATAAACAAAGACCAGGGAGTTTTCTTAAAAAGTTCCCCTTTGATGTCACTTCCTGTTTCACTTTGACTGAGCCAAGTTCACAGGAAATAATGCCAGTTATGTGACAAGATGAGTTAAATCGTATGTTTCATGCCCGGTTTCTTAAATTTAAGATGTTTTCTTTGACTTTTTGAAGGATATACACGTCACAGACATTTGAAATCACCATTAAACTTCAAAGCAACCGTATGTTTAAAAACAAAGGCCTTCGAAACCCACCGTAACCCACCCTCACCTTGGAACAATACAGTTTTGTCTAGCAAATGCAAAATTAAGGTCACCAGATCCTGTTTACATGCTTTGATGCTTCTCTCAAACTGAACATAACTTATCTCCTACGTCACCCTCTGCTTTTCTGTTACCCAACCCCTCCTGTGTCGTTTGGGTTAAAAGGACGTAAATCTCCTTGAAGCTTCATGATCGGAATTAGAAAACAGCTGGTTGTCTCGCTCCTGGAGAAAAATAAGAAGGAAGTTAATGAGGGAGGCAGATAATTCAAAGTAAGAGTCAAAGATACCTTGAGGATAAACTAAAAGTTGGACTCATTAAAAGAAAAGGTCATAGGATTATAGAAGATAGTTGRGTATTTTGAGGAGATCAGAATATTTTCATGGCTTTTATGATTGGGCGTCACCCTTTTGCCAGTGTTTTTTGTGAGTTAAAAAGGAATCTGATCACTGTACACCAACAACTAGACGGAAGAACTCAATCTGTGTTTTCATCTATGCTGTTTTTCTTTTCTTTTGTTTTGTTTTGTCTGAACAGAGCCAGACTTTAGATTATTGTGGCAGACCATGGTGACCAGGCAGACATCAAAAAATGCACAACTGGCAGYGAGAGTCCAGCTCTTCTGGTCGAAGCACTCGTAAAGGGATTCAGGAGGTTCCCCCCGGTGTCCCAGCACCGATCAGTTTCAGGGCCTCGTCAGTTCAGATAAACAGACGCTGACATCTCTATAGATGAGAGATCGAAAATTCCTGTCATTTAGAGTCCGGCCAAAAAACACMATCTCATTTTACTCCAACCTCCTTTAGATTTGACATTTTATCAGTAAAATCGTGGTGAAAAGAAATCCCATCCAAGAAACACAGCAGCGGTGGAATGAGTCGCAAATTTCAGGAAACAAAAATGTTAATCGAAGTTATCCGGGCTGGAAAAAATAGACAGAAATGTTTTAATATTGAGTTAATATTTTCAAATTATCCATATSTAAAGCTTAGTTTGTTGAAATTTGATGATTTATTACCAGGCTTGTTAAAGGGATCCATGATTAGTTGTAACATTAGACTTTATTTAATAAACATATATTTTAACTGTAAAATAAAGACTGTAAAAATACTGTAGCTGTTTAGTTTTTATAATTTTTAAATTAAAAGTTAGAAATATATTTAAACACGGACGGGGCCATTTTATTTAAACGCAAAGCATTCTGGGTAAATGATGACTTGGATAGGTCCTCGGTGCGAGGCTGCTAGCGAGCTATATCCACCTTGAAGGTTAATCTTGGACAATATCTGATGATCGACTCTTTTAAATGAAAYCAGAGAGCGTTGACAGAGAGGAGAAGGTAGAAATGACTCAGCCTGKAACTGAAAATATGGATGGAGGACAACAGAGCTGCTTCATGGAAGAAGAACCTCAGCTTAGCCTGTTAGCTTTAGCATTAGCCCCTATACTATCACCATATATATTAGCTCAGCGCTACACATCCTCTTGTCACTGAGGTCCTCTATCCACATGACAGAAAGGGGAACGCAAAAATGACTCAGCCTGCAACTTAAAATATGGATGGAGGACCTCAGTTTAGCTTGTTTGTTGCGCTAGCGCTGAGCTAATACWTATAAGGTCTGTAGCACGAAGGCTAACAGGCTTAACTGGGGTTCTTCTTCCATGAAGCAGCTCTGTTCTCCATCTATATTTTCAGTTACAGGCTGAGTCATTTCTACCTTCTCCTCTCTGTCAACGCTCTCTGGTTTCATTTAAAAGAGTCGATCATCATATATTGTCCAAGATTAACCTTCAGGGTGGATATAGCTCRCTCACACCGAGGACCTATCCACGTCATCATTTATCCAGAATGCTTTGCGTGTAAATAAATGGCTCCGTCTGTATTAAAATATATTTTTAAAAATTTACTAAACTAAACAGCCTACAGTATTTTTACAGTCTTTATTTTACAGTTAAAATGGTTGTTTATAGAATAAAGTCTAATGTTGCAACTAATCATGTATCCCTTCAACAAGCTAGTTTTTTTTAGTTTTGTTCCAGTTTGTAAACTCCATTTTAATTGGTCTGGAGTGCTGTCATCAGAACTTCCAGTCATGTATTTAAAAATGGATTCATCAGCCCTGTGACAGCCGGCAAAGAAAAATTGTTGCCTTCAAAGACTGTTAAAAGGTTTCGACTTAAAAAAATATTGTTTGTCTGAGCGCTTTGACAAGCCAAAGAAACTGGTTGACAGTCCAACTGCAGGACAGCAGGTGAACATTTGAGGGTGTCAGGTGTTGGAGGATCATAGGAACGCTGGTGAAAAGGACATGGAATGCCAGGAATGAGTGTGAGAAGAGGAGGGTGGGGTCGCTGCAGGTCTGGAGGTCAGCTGTGGGCTCCAAAAATAATCACAGATCTCTGTGGCRTACTCAAAAAAACGATCAAACCTCATTTTACTACTAATTGTTTTTTAATGTAAACGGAGTAATTATTGACCCCAAGATAAACCGATAAACTACAGTTTTGACTTCATTTACAAAGTACTGGTATTCTCCGACCCGTGCTGACAAATAATCACGTAAAGTTTTTGAAAGTAAAGGCAAATATCTGATAAAACAGACCCCACAGGTTGACCGCTGACTCATCAGAAAGGTTAAGGTAATCTGTGGCAGCTGGGATGACATGTTATTACTGCAGGATTATGTTCCCAGGTGGATCAGGCCCCACCAGTATTTGAGGAGTCACATTGCTCGCGACCTCACCATTTCTTTATTAAAGCCTCTAAACTTAGACGTTTGGCTGATCTGCATCCGATATATCAAATGAGATATTTTGTCCATTCAGCTTTTGAGTTCACCGGACCGATGAGTGGAGAAGGGTGGGCCGCTGCAGTGCTGACAAGGAGCCAAGGCTTGTTAGAGAATTTTGTTTGTGCTTCTAGATTCTTAACAAAACTAAATTCCAACTCACTTGTTATTCAGAAGCCATTGCAGATCATTTATTGATGTTTTAGCTTGATTTTCCGTTCTTTAGCAGTTTTCGGTGTTCATCGAGCGTAGACTCCATCGGATGATTGACCCTCCTTTAGTTTCCTCCCATGTTGTTTTTCTTCATCTTTTGTTTCAGCCTTCAACTCTTCTATATTCAGAACTTGGTGTCATTTTTCTAATCTGTCTGAGGCTGTTTGGAGTGGAGCCTAACTTGTCCATTAGTTATATTAGCACCTCAGTGGGGAGGCTTCGAATACCGCCTCTCATGGACTGAGACACACAAAGGGCTCAGAGCCCCCCTGCTTTTGTCCCGTCAGTCGGTGCTGGTCCAGAAAAGGTCTGTCTGGTCCTCTGAGGTAGAAAGCGCTGACCCGGGGTTCGTGTTGTTTACTTATTAACAAGCTGATCAACCTAAATAAAACGTAACAGCTCAATTGTAAGAATATTTATTTATTTTAGTTTTTTTTATGTTTGAGCTTTAGACTGTCAGCTTGTTTCCAGTTTTTGGCTTAAGATAACTAAAAACAAAATAACTACACTACCTCTACAGTTTTCTGAAATACAATAAGAACAATAACTAAAACAAGCTTTAAGAACTCTGTTTTAGATTTTTGTCATCAAAGTAAGTGTTTTGCTGCTTTTCTGTTGTGTTTTTTTTTAAAGGATCCATGATTAGTTGTAACATTAGATTTTATTTAATAAACATATATTTTATCTGTAAAATAAAGACTAAAAATACTGTAGGATGTTCAGTTTTTATCATTTTTAAACTAAAAGTTAAAAATATATTACACGGACGGGGCCATTTTATTTACACATAAAGCATTCTGGGTAAATGATGACATGGATAGGTCCTCGGTGCGAGGCTGCTAGCGAGCTATATCCACCCTGAAGGTTAATCTTGAACAAGATTTGACGATTGGCTCTTTTTAAAGAAACCAGAGAGCGTTGACAGAGAGGAGAAGGTAGAAATGACTCAGCCTGDAACTGAAAATATGGATGGAGGACAACAGAGCTGCTTCATGGAAGAAGAACCTCAGMTTAGCCTGTTAGCTTTAGCATTAGCCCCGACGCTATCACCATATATATGTATTAGCTCAGCGCTACACATTCTCCTCTCRTCACTGAGGTCCTCCATCCACATGACAGAGAGGGGAACACAAAAAATGACTCAGTCTGCAGCTGAAAATATAGATGGAGGACCTCAGTTTAGCTTGTTTGTCTTGTTAGCGCCGAGCTAATACATATAAGGCAATATAGCATTGGTGCGTTGGTACTAGCGAAATTTACAAAATTAAACAGGCTACAGTATTTTTACAGTCTTTATTTTACAGTTAAATGTTTATCAAATAAAGTCTAATGTTACAACTAATCAGGGATCCCTTTCAGCTAAGTTTCTGGCTAATATTAGCTTTGCGCTTAGCATGCAAACGAGTGGTGTCATACGTTCACGTGTGTGATGGGTAAAATGCAGAGAATTAATTTCCCCTCTGCGGGACAATAAAGGCTAATAAAATCTTTAAAAAAATGTTTTGTTTATATAAGTACTCAATTACTCTTTTTGTCTTTTCTAGCCTTTGGAGAAAAATGGACAAATCTCCAGTTTGACCAGTCTGAATGGACACTCGGAGGACAACACGTTGGCAGAAGGTGTGTAACGATGTGTGTTTGTCCTGTCACTGCTGTTTATTTACTGTGTTTGACTTTGGTAGCGGTCCCTGCGGTCGGTGTGTGTTTGTGTTGGGGATTTTGCTCTGTGTTTTAAGCAGCGGCAGCTTGTTTGTGTCTGTGTGTGTCTGTGTGTATGGGGGGGTCAGCTTTCAGTGTGTTTTAGCGTGTGTGAGAAACCCTTGTCTGCAGATGTCTTTATGACTCTGCATGATCCAGCACTGATCCTAAACTAATCCATTTGTCAACATTCAGAGGAACACCTACGTGGACTTTTCCGAAGCCACACACAGACTCACACATCTTTGCATTCCAACATACATATATTTATATATAAACCTTATTGCTTATATTAGAAATACAACAGAGAATTAGTTTGAATTGAAGCTTCTTCCCCTCAACTAACTTTTTTTTCCCTCTAAATTCAAACGTCCATCAAACTGCTCCGTCCATCTCCTGCATTCCATCTTTTAAAACACTGTTTTCTTTATTTTCTTTTCTGTTTCTGTTTCTGTCCGGTCTCCATCAGGTTCTGGGAGGGCTGCAGGGGTGTGTGCTGGTTCCCTAAATATTTAGCAGGCCTTGACCCGGACCCTGCACAAAGCAACCTGTGCTCCTCATAATATGATGTGCCCCCAAGGGGAAGAGTAATCCTACGCTACTTAAAACAGAGAGACACGTCACATACCATTCTGTCAAATTACCAGTTTAATAAGCTTTTTAATGAAGTGTTCATAGCGTAACATAATACTCTCCACAGCAGAGATACAGAGTGAACTGGAGGGCTAGTGTTGGTTCTGTAAGTTAACCAGTAATGTGTTTTTTTGTACGGCCTAACGCAGCTTAAAGACAAGACTGTGGCTATTTTTGCCAAACTGTTTTGTGAAAGAGCTACTAAACCATGTGTCAAACTCAAGGCCTGCAGGCCAAATCTGGCCCTCATGAACATTTTGTTTGGCCCCAAATGTAATACTTTAAAAGTGGAATAGTTTTATGGTTTCTCTTTTTTTATCACTGGATTTAGTGCATTCTTCTTGGTGGCTACTGCCCAACTTTCAAACCAAGATAAACATCATTTTTCAGTAATCTTTACGTTTGGTGCGGATGGAGCAACAGAGAATTACCTTTAATTATCTTCTGCTCTTTTTAGTTTTATTTATTTATTATTTAATTTGATTTTTAGTGAGGGTTTTCCTTTTTTAAATATTTATCTTTAAGAAATAATACTGTAAATCAAAAAGTTTTTTGTAGATAATGACATAGGAAATTAATGCTAAAGATGTTTTTTTGAATCTTTTTCTTTATACGTTCTTGTTCTAAACTAGGGCTATTCAACTAAATTGCTCCAGGGGCCACAGTTACTGCAGGCCAACAGCTGAGGGGCCCAGCATCCAGCAAGTCATTATTAAACCAAGTATTACAAAGATCTGTTACCTTTGAAGTAGTTTATTTTGATGCATTTAATCATGAATACAACATACGGAACCCTATGTAATAATAGTAATGATAATAAAACAAAAATAAAACATTATGCCACTTATTTTCCACAAATAATACTTTGACCTGTCTGAATTGCCAAATTTTTAAACCAGTTTTATTTTCACGTACATAGTTTTATTTTCAACTGCTTGTACTTTTAACTGTCTTGGGTGTTCATAGAAATGGTTTTTACCAGCTTCTAGACAAAATTCTGACTTTTCTGTAGATACCAAACATGTCTGTTGCGTTTCCATTGACCATGGAAATGAGCAAATTAGAATTTCGAAAATAAATTTCCTCAAAGGAAACACGTCAATTTCGAAAAAAAATTTACGTTTTTCGACAAAATGTTTTTGCGCTAGGATGAGGGTTTTTTCCGGCCGTATCTAAATTGCTGTTTTTCGCAAAACTGCAACGGAAACACTTTTTTCACATCACAGGAGTCACATGATCAACAACCGGCTGTTTCTACTGGCGAAAAAGACGACGACGAAGACAACAGGAAGCAGTAGTAATATCTCAGAAGTAGTAAAAGAAAATATTAAACTCACCGACTACAATTTCCCAAAAACACAGCATACGTAGCCGCTCCCACGTATAAGGGGCTTGTCTCTGGAAAGCCTCGATAAAAGACGCCGACGTCTCCTCTGATGATGAGCGCTAGTGTCGCGGTAGCAACATGCTATGTGTTTACATCCATTGCCGCCATGTTTGTAATTATTTATCGCGAGAACAAATGTATTCACGCGTGACTTTAATTACGTTTCTTCACCGCAGTTGCGAAACTGTGTTTTTTCAACATTAACAGAATATCGACAACATTTTGCGCTCATTTGCAATGGAAATGCAGTTTGTGTCTAACTAAAAGAACTTATAGTAATTAAAGTAGAAAACCAGGGTTTTGGGCTTAAAAGATGAATGAACCAATTGGCGGGCCAAACTTTGGTCACTCGCTGGCTGCCAGTTGAATAGCCCTGTTCTAAACACTACCTAAAATGTAATTTGGATAAGATCTTTTGTATTGCTTTAAGAATAATTTCTTATATGTGTTTTTTTTTTAATAAATATTGACAAATTGGACCAAGTTTTCAAGTTTGCCCCCCTTGTGTCACTTCGTTTGACACCTCTGGCCTAAAGAAATGCTTCGTAGGAGTCTACCTGACAAACATTTTTTCGTTAACGTTTAAAAAAATCGATTAAAGGAATATAGCAAACGATTTGTTTTCTACATTTTCATTTTCTGACAAACCAAGGATTAAAAACCAGAGAGAAGTCATGAAAACACTTCAAGGCCACAGATTGAAAGAATGCAAGGGAGTGAAAGGAAAGAAGCAACACAATGTGATAGAAGAGTGAAAAAAAAAACAAGAGAGCTTTAACATCCTCAGCACCCCTGCCTGATAACTGCAGAGGTGCATTGTGGGAGACAGGAAGGGGAGAGGAATCTGCCTGATAACGAAACAAAACAACAAAAGATGGGACATCAAACAGGATCTGCTCCTCTTTGCCAGGTGCTCCAGAGTGTTTACAGTTTTGAGGCGTAAAACTCACCCCAACAAACTGCAGCAGCCAGAAAAACCTCTTTAAAGTCATATCACTGGGGTCAGATCCAGGTTTGATTTCTGATTTAAACATATAGAAAAATAAAACAATAAATAAACTTCCCTTAATACTCATAAACTAGTTGCTTTAGATTTGAGGGATATACAAAAATAAAAACAAAAAAGTTTGTTCTTTAAATCTTTTTTAAACAAATTGAAGCAAAGTTTAAAGATTTTTTTACAGTAATGAGTGAAAGCAGTTAAATAAATATTAGATGAAAGTGGGGATTTGATCTGGCGCTCTGAGAGGAAAGAGCCACGCAGAAAGCTCCAACCAGGAAGGGTAAAAATAGCCGAGCAGAAAAGCAGCAGGTTAATAAATAAATGATGCAGAGACCCGCCGCGTGCATCACTCCTGCACACTGGTTTGTTCTGCAGGTTACTTTCACAGGTAACGGACGGGTTGGAGCTGAGTTCCAGTCGGGAGGGTTTGCTGGGTTCAGCAGGGTTGTGAGCGCTCCATGCAGCTGCAGTGGGAGCCCAAAGGATGACATCACAGATTATGTCATTTACTGGCTGAAATGCTGACGCACCCTACAAGATGGATTGCAGATTTGAAAAGAAAAAAAAACAGCACAACTACAGATTTTTTTAGACATTTTCAGATGAAAGTGCTAATTCGGTCCATGCTTTCACCAACGATTGTGTTAATTTACAGTAAAGCTGGATGATAATCCCAGATATTCTGTGCTTCAGCTCGTTAAATGGGCGGGGTTCATCTTTATGTTGGATGCTGTTTGTTAGTCGGGTGTGATCAGGTCTTAATTAAAGGGTTAAAGAGAAAAAAACTGCAGATGAGGCAAAAATCGACAGCTGCTCTGTGTGTTTTTATGCACTTTTTTAGGCTAAAGGTGTAAACTTTTACAACTCTATTGCTATTAGTGTGTCTTGGCATGTGGAAGTGTTTTAATGCGGTTTAATTTCAGGATCCGATCGCTCTGGGGATGCGACACGGTTGCGTTGCCAAAACATTCATCATGCATGTGGAAACGGGGAACCTCTCCCTTCGCCTGAGCTCTGTCCCGATCTCGGAGGCTTCGAGCTCGTAACACAATCCAGCCGTCGGACCGCTCCTGCTGGATGTTTGCCCACGTTGCTTTTACATTCCAGGCTGACAACACTTCTTATTACGAATGATCCGTTTCGTTTTAGATGCTCCGGGCTCTCCAGCTTGTGTCCTGAAAGACTCGCCGAAGAGAAGGGAAATGACTAAAACATGCAGGATAAAAGGCTTTCAAGGACCAGGATTTTAGACTTCTGGTTCACCAAAATCTGTTCAAACATGGTTATGTTGTTACTGTGAATGTTAAAGAGAACCCTGTTACCATTTACTTCAACTGTAAAACAAAGACTGTAAAATACGGAAGAGAATTACGGCCACTGGAAAAATAAAATAATTCAGACTTTAATCTCAGAATTATATATATATTTTTAGTGGCTCTAATCCTATTTTGTAGTAAAAATACTGTATATTTTTAAAAATCTAATGTCACACAGATGTATGGGATAAACTTTGTGCCAGCAGGAATTGAATTTGAATTGCTCAGTTTGAATCTGAATGTGCATAATTTGACATTGAATGCATTGGTTTGAAAATCAATTTCACTAAATTGAAACTGAATTTAAAGTTTTGAATCTGAATTAATTTGCTTTGAAACTGTATTTTGTTTTATTAAAAATTCAGTTTGACTACTTTTACTTTCAGTTCCCTAATTCAGATTTTTGTGTCACACATCCTGGTCCTTGAGAAAGCCAGCCAGAGTAATCAAACACAGATCCACAGATTTATGTTTGTTTCCCTTCTGTAG